TTTTCCGGGCTCTTCCAGTCCTTCCTCTCCCCATCCCAAAGGTCTCCCACTCGAGTTACCCCGTTCTTTACCCACCCTTTCCATGGGGCATCTGTGCTGCAAAAAACCTGACTGCGTTCGTTGGTGATCCAAAGGTTTCCAAAAAGGGGTTGCCTTGCCACCTCCTCCCACCTGTCTGGAGGTGGGCGATGCGGGGGAGGGAGCCTCCGCCAGATTTTTAACAAACAAGGCCAGAAATCGTCTCTCCTCCCCTCCCCTCCTCGGGAGTGCCGTGGCACCTTCCAGTAGCGGTCTTCTAACCATTGGAGAGGGTGTACGGATTGAGGGGCCTCGGGGGCCAGACGAGCGATCTGTGCCAATGCCAAAGGCCTCCATACTAGTGTGTTTTCGAATATCAAGCGTACTACCCATTGTAAGCGAAGGGCTTGGGATTGAGTGAGGGGGTCTAGGATACCGAGGCCTCCCTTTGACGTAGGTTGGGTAACTGAGTCCCATGCCACCCGGCTGATAGCGTGGGGATTCTCACTATCTCCTCTCCATAGGTAAGCAGCCACCTTCCTCTTCAATATCTTCAAGGCCTCTGGGCTCAGTGGCCAAAGTATCGATTTATACCAAAGGGTGGCAAGGACAACATTGTTGATCACCAAAGCACGGCCAAAAAGAGATGTTTGCTTATGGTTCCATTGGGAGAGTTTGGCACCCGCCGGGGCTGATATCCAACCATCATTTTCAGGGGATTTACCTAGCGCTGTCATCTTCACCCCCAAGATCCGAATTGGGGAATTGGGGCCCACCCAGTTGATGTGGTGTCCTTCCGGGGGACGGCCCCCTTGGTGGTGGAGCCACCATCCAATCGTTATCTCAAGGACGTTTTGTCCTTTTTGAAAGGAAAAAAAAGGGTCAAAATGGGACAACCTGGTTCGGGCAAAAGGGGACAAAATGGGCACCAATGGATCAACATGGGACAACATGGATTGGTCAAAAGGGGTGAAAAAAGCTGGGGACAATATGGGTCAAAAGAGGCACCAATGGGTCAAAATGTGACAACGTGGGTCAAAAGGGGGCAAAGTGGGTGAAAATGGGCACCAATGGGTCAAAAGGGCAACATGGATCAAATTGGGACAAAAGGGGTCGAAATGGGACAAAACGGGAAAATAGCATAAATGCGTATTTTACTATTTTCATAATCTGAGGTCATGGCCCCACAGCATTTAATTTCTTCCTTATCCGCTCTCCCAACTGGACCCATTGTACAATTTTGACCCGTTTTGTCCCATTTTGACCCACGTTGACCCATTTTAACCCATTGGTGCCCATTTTCACCCACTCTGTGCCGTTTTGACCCATGTTATCCCATTTGGACTCATTCGTGCCTATTGTGACCCACTTTGTCCCCCTGTTTTTGACCCATTTTGACTTACCCATAATTACATTATTTATTACAGGAGAAAAGGGGTATTACAGGAGGAAAGGGATATTACAGGAGAAAAGGGATTCAAAGTTTTTCGAACCCTTAACCTATGGTTTTGGAGATCATTGTGCTACCATTGGAACCATTCTCCACACGAAACAAAGTGTGATTGGTTTATGGAGTTTGCACCTATTTGTGTGTATTTGGTCATTAGTTTTACTAGAGTAACTTTCTTTGATCTTAATTGGCCTCCTTAATTGATCTTATTTGCTTCTTCATCCAGGTGTTTTGCACTCTCTCTTTTTTTTTTTTTTTTTTTTTTNTTTTTTTTTTTTTTTTTTTTTTTTTGGTGTTTAGTATGTATGATGAACTTGTCCCAATCGAATATGTTGAAGAAGTGCTTGATGTGGTAGATGCCGGCCTCCTTAGCCCTCTCTCGGAGGGAAGTAAACGTCGTCTTGTTGTGTCTGTCCTCGACGACTCGGTATTTGTGGTAGGGGTATAACCCTGGCCAACTTTGAGAGTATGTCCATTTCTATTAAAAAAAAAAGGCATGGCGGTTCTCTGTGCAAAATGAAATCCATGGACATCAATTGCCCTGGTCCAGAGGGAATAGGCAGAGGTTTTAGCAAGCGTAATGGAGGTCCAGAGGGAATAGGCAGAGGTTTTAGCAAGCATAATGGAGGTCCAGAGGGAATTGGCAGAGGTTTTAGCAAGACGAAGAGGGGTCCAGAGGAAATAGGAAGAGGTTTTTGCAAGCGTAGGTGGGGTCCAGAGGGGATAGCAAGAGGTTTTAGCAAGCCTTGAGGGGGGGAGGGGGGGTGGGTCCAGATGGAATAGAAGAGATTTTAGCAAGCCTAAGGGGGTCCAAAGGGAATGCGAAGGGGTTTGAGCAAACCTAAGGGGGTCCAGAGGGAATAGGAAGAGATTTTAGCAAGCCTAAGGGGGGTCCAAAGGGGATAGGAAGAGATTTTAGCAAGCCTAAGGGGGCCTACGTGCGGGGTTTATTACGTCGTTGGCGCACTTGACAGCCTTCTGCGTACGCATGGGCGCCTTGCTTCACGCCTGGCGGCTGAACTCGTAACATATTCGCTTCTTAGACCAGCAATAGGCCGGAGCCTTGTGGAGTCGCACTGCACGCCAAGCTTTGCCGAACTGCCAGCCGTGCACTTTTTTCTTTTTTGGCTGGCGCCGCCAGCCGATCCACAGCCCCACCCACCCACCCTCAGAATCAAACTCGAACTCGGATTCAAATAGAGTATATTGTATTTTTTCAGGACCGGTGAATGATGGACAACAGACACAACCTCCTGAGGAGTTGGTGAAAGTCTGATGAAACAGTCTGGCACAGTCATATGCTGTTTTCGAGTGTTTAGCGAATATGACAACGCGCATGCGTGCACACACACACACACACACACACACACACACACACACACACACACACACATTTGAGCGGCTAGAATCGGGCTCGTACTAGCGAGCCGGTCTTTCTCTGTGGTTGGATGTGTTTTGTTGGGTTTGTTTTTATACATGGCCTAATTCTTTGCCCTGCTTTCAGCATGGGCTGTATTGTTGATGAAGTGATGTTTGTGGGTGGCCACGAGTTTTTTTCGGGGTGGGTGTTTGGGGTTTTGTCTATAATACCTCTGCGAGGAGGCTCAGAGAGTGTTTGCTGTGGGTGTCATTCCCGCGGGCYGCTTTTTCGGAGCACATGGAAGAATGGGGCAGCTTCTAGGGTGTTTTAAGCAGTAGCGCTCCTGGTGTCGCACGGAGACCTTGTGGAATTTGGCATATTCGTCATGGAGTGATAGAGATGGCGGTGGCGTGAGTGTAGAGTGCCGGTGCTGCTTTCTGTGTGGGCTGAATCGGAGGGCTCTTCAAGTTTTTTCGGACTATGTGAGCTCTGGTTGGTTCTTCCTTGCTTTCTCGGTGAAGCCTTCTGGGTTAGGTACAGGCTTAGGTATGCTGTCTTTTGCTTTTATCTTTATTGTGTGGGCCGACGTCGAGGGCTCTCGAGGTTTTTCGGATCTCTGGAGTATGGGGTCGGAGCTTTCTTGCTGGTGAAGTCCTCGGTTTTAGGTCAGTTGCTTCTTGCCCTCCACCCTTTTATGGACTAAATAAATATAATAATATATGCATGTATGTAGGCAGACGGGTGTGTGGGCACTTGGCGCTGAACCACACAAACGTTGCCAACCTTGCATTTTCTATTATATTAGCTATCTATACCCTTTTGTTATGGATGGATGTTTTGTCTAATTTGTGAAGGAAATGAGAGAGAGAATTTGGGGTACTTCAACAAAACACACACACACACACACACACACACACACACACACACACACACACACACACACACACACACACACACA